TATACTACACAAGATAAACACACACACCTAAAAAAAGAAAAGAAAAGAAAAGAAAAGAGCCTCTACCCCATTATTGAGGAATTTTATTGTGGCACTGGAGGCTTACAAGGGCACTAACTTTGAGTGATAGATTTATTTGAAACACGCGACAAGGACTAGGGTGAACCTAAAGAACATGGGTTGAGGTAGTAAAGGATATTATCTATATGCGTATATGTCTGCAATTAATCGTTAGACCTTATTCTTATCGAGATTCAACAATTCTGTGCAATACCTTTTTTGTTTTTGTTCACCAAGTGCAGCTTCAAGCTTTAATTTAGCATTCCGCTTTATTTTAGTGTTGCACCACTCCTTATGATTTTAACATGTAAATGGTAATTCATTACTATATAAATCATGTATGTTTTAATCTTGAAAATTATTTTGTTTACTACAGAATCTTCCACATGATGCTTACAAACTTCTCGCCGTGCCTTCTCCTATTGGTGGTGTCCTTGTGATATGTGCAAATAGCATCCATTATCACAGTCAGGTATTCAATCAGATATATATTCTCTGCTCAATTTGAGTAAATTTACTGATTGCTTAGCATATTATGTTTTAGAATACTGCTATATTTCTCTTTTTTGAATAAATAACTTTTTAATGTTTTCTTGCAGTCTTCATCTTGTGCACTTGGCCTTAACAGTTTTGCCATGCAGATGGATAGTAGGTTAGTACGACTTCATTAATGCATAATATACCTAGAATTCTTGTTGAAATCTCTAGCCGTCTGTGCCTTTGTTAGATAATTCAAATTAGCAAAGAAAAAAAGATGAAGATATCTGTGCTACTTGCGAGTTGCTGCTTTGAGTGTCCTGTATTATACTCTTTTACCTGATATATGTGATCGCTAGGTTTTGCTAACATGTATAAATTATTTTTCTAATGCTCCATTTGATAACGTAATATTTTATAATGGTTTCACAGTTTGAAAGTACTTGGATTTGACTGTGTTCTTTGAGAGTTCAAGTCTAATCATCCCCTGAATTATAGATTGCTTTTCTAACTAACTCCTATGTTTTTTTTGCAAATTAGTCCTCAATATTCATTTTGTCATTCTTTATTAGACCATGATCGTGAAATCTCAACAAGGTTGGAGTATTGTTGTCATATTCTAATATTTTCTTGGAGGAAAAACTCCATTGTTTCCCACTAACTCCCTCATTTTAAGTTTCATCATTGATGATTGTGCCCTTCTTAGAATCTGTAACACACGTTTTCTCACATGTTCACGACCATGCTATAAGAAAGAAATTAAAATGAAAAGTTGAGGACTAATTTGCGAAAATAAAAAATATAGGGGTTATCTAGAAAACCTATCTATATATTACGGGCTGATTAGACTTTGTTCTTTGTTCTTTGATGACTTCTCTACTCTGTTTCTTTCGGGATTCCATAAAATTGTGCTATAAAACTTATACAATAAATCCTTTAGTTCTAGGAGCTATTTAAAAAGACTAGTTCATTATGTGTCTGGTATTTTCATTCTTTTTGTCTTTTGTTACTCTAGTTTTTTGGAGATGTGAAAAATTATTTACACAAGCAAATTAGATATGATATATGAAAATTTTGGTAGGGCTACTATAAAGAAGTTCATTCAGATTTGTTAACATATGGTGTATATTAGATCAAGGTTTTAAATGTCGTTCGACATGTCCGACATGTCGGCCGATATATCGGTTTGAGGGCTTGACCGACACGATATGGACGTCTTCAACTCATATATCGGTTTTCAAGGCCAAATCGGAAATATCAGGGTCATATCGGGCATATCGGCCTATTTTTTAGCTTTGAAAAATCGGCCGATATGGTACCTTTTTTTTAAGATCTATTTTTTGTTATCGGGTTTGGGTTTAGTGATAAATATCCAAACCCGTTTGACTCGTTCTCATGTTTAAGGGTTTCTTATGAACCTGATAGAAAGAATTTATGAACCCAAATCCATATATTATTTGCTTTTTTTATATGTTTAGTCTATAGAATTTATAAAGTATGCTTATATTGAATTTATGAATGCTTAGATTACATTTAGGACATGATATTATACATATGCGCACTACCTGATATGGCAATCCGATATTTAGTCAATGTCCCCCGATATATCCCCGATTTCTGCTATCCGACATGGATTTCAGCCATCCGACATGAACCCGACATCCGACATTTATAACCTTGTATTAGATTCATATAGGCTAGATTGTAAGTTGACTATTCGATGCAAGCTTTGTAACTACTGGCTCAACTGTATATTGTTAATTGATCCAAGTGATTGTAATTTTTTTTTATTATACAACCTAATATTTTCTATGCTTGTTGAGTTGGGGGTTTTGAGGAGTGAAGAGGAAGATGCACTAGAAAATAGTGTAGGTTGGTTGGAGAAATAGACATTCTAAAAGAAACCGTCATTGCTTGTTCATCAACAACAACATATTTTTAATGATGAAATAAATTATAGCAAATGTTTTATTTGTAAAAGTTGGGCCGGAGCATTTGGTTGATGTGGTCGGTTTTGGCAAAAAGTGGCCACCTCGTAACCACATCACTTAGGTCTCGGAACCGAACCGAACCAAACATTTAGCTTTCATCGATTGAGAATTTTCGAATGATCTTTTTGGAGAGCAATGTAGCGCTAAAAAATAAACCCACATTTTTTGCTAGTTGCTACTTTGATTGGCTTTACTTTAGTAACTGAAAAAGAAGTTAGTGCATCATAAATAAAACCATGCTAATTTTTGGTATGAACGAAATTGTACTCACCCCTGGTAAAAGTAATTAAATGTTTTTGCTAAAGTAAAGAGGAAAAAAGGAAAAACGAGTAATGTATTATTTCTTTATTATTGGTCCCCACTTTTTCACTTTCAGGGTGCCTTCATATGTTTCATGGAAATGGGTACGGGTGTGGAGCACGACAAATTTGTAAAAGGTAGCGTAGGAGTATACAATATATGTGTGTGTTGGAGTATATAATATATGTGTGTGTTTATAAATGCATATGTATAGATATATTGAGCAACAATTTACATGAGATCAATGTTTTTTTTTTCATTAACATGTTATGATAATTACGGTTCCTTTAACATTTTCTACTTCGTTTATTATGTACATTACAAATTGGAAAATTGCTCGTTTTTGAATTAGATATTGAAACGACCTTTTAAGATCATAGTTCTAAACTAGGTATTGATTGAAGCAAACTTGACGCATATCCAACGAGTTTCAGGAAGTGGATGTGAAAACTAGGATACATGTCCACGAAGTTTGTGATAAGTGTTTTAAATTAAAATATGTAATATATAACTGAGTATACGCCCGAATAAATGTATACAAGTACTCAGGAAGTGTCTTAAGTGCCCTGTGCAGGTGAAATTACAAGTATGTGTTAGTTATGGGCACAACTTTTGATAGAGTTGCCCAGGTAACATAAGTGCCTTCAGACCAAGTGCGAATGAAAGTGAACAAATTTCATGTACTTTAATTGTTTGCTTTGATGAAACTAGTATTTGAAAGTGTAAGAGTGAATATCGCCACTTAGGATATGTTAGAAATGATAAATCAGAATTGCATAATTTTATTCATCACCATAGGTCTATATATATAGGAGTACATAACACTACATAACACATAATGAATAACATATGGGTAAATAGGTTAATGGGTCCTAACCCGATAACCCAATACTAATACCAACACTCTCCCTCAAGCTGGAGCATATATATCAATCATGCCCAACTTGTTACACAGACTAGAAAACATCTTAGGTGAGGTAGCTTTAGTGAGAATGTTAGCTAACTGTTCTGAAGACAGAGTGAATTGAAGAGATCACTTTCTTTTCCCAAGCATCTCTGACAAAATTACAACCAACTTCAATGTGTTTAGTTCTCTCATGGATTCTTTGCAATATAAATAGTTGACTGGTTATCACAATACATAGGCATAGATTCAGGTTGAGTAAAACCAAACTCTGTCAACAGCTTCTGCAATCATATCATCTCACAGACAGTTTGAGCCATAGCTTTGTATTCTGTTTCTGCACTAGATCGAGATATCATATATTATTTCGTGCTCCTCCAAGTTACCGGATATCTTCTAATAAAAGTGCAAAATCCAGAAGTAGACTTCCTATCTCCTATGTCTCCTGCATACCCGGTATCAAAAAAAGTAAAGATGTGTAAATGTCTATGTTTCTTATATAGTAATTTTTTTCAGGACAACTTTTAACATAAGCTAAAATCCTCAGAGCAGCTGTCCAGTGAAACTCTCTAGGTTTATGCATAAACATGTTCAGTACTCTCGCTGTAAAGGTAATATCAGGTCTGATTACAGTAAGATAGATCAACTTGCCAATCAATCTCCTATATCGACCAGCATCATCTAGGAGAAGACTATTATCACGCCACAGATCCACATTCATCTCCATTGGAATGCTTGCTGGCTTACACCCTAAAAGACACATTTCTTCTAACAGATCCAATACATATTTTCTTTGAGATAGAAGCAAACCGTGCTTTTGATATGCAATCTCAATCCCAAGAAAGTATTTTGATTTTTCTATATCTTTAGTCACAAAGTGACGTGAAATGTACTCCTTAGTCACTGCTAAGGCAGTAAGGTCACTCCCAGACAGCAGGATGTCATCAACATATACAACAAGAATCATCAAATCAGATATAGTGCGTCAAATAAAAACTGAGTGATCTGACTGACACCGTTTAACACTAACACTAGATATAGCAGTACTGAATTTTTCAAACCATGTCTGTGGACTTTGTTTGAGACCATAAATTACCTTTTTAAGTCTACATATAGTATTCTCTCCCTGAGCAACATACCCCGGAGTTGCTCCATATAGATCTCCTCCTTTAAGTCACCACATAGAAAGGTATTCTTAACATCTAGTTGAAGCATGATCCAGTCTAGATTAACAGCCATAGAAAAAAGGAGACGAATGGAATTAAGACGGGCAACGGGAGAGAACGTCTCAAGATAGTCAACCCCATAAGTTTGAGTACAACCCTTAGCAATAAGACGAGCTTTATAGCGATCAATAGAACCATCTGTGCGATATTTTAAGATATATACGCACCGACAGCCTACTACAGTAGCACCTGTAGGAAAAAGAACAAGATCCCAAGTCTCTCTAGAAACAAGATCATCCATCTCCTCATCTAAGGCCTGTTTCCAAGCGGGAACTAACATGACCTCCTCATATGACCTGAGTATAGATATTAAGGACAAAGACAAAGCAAACTGACGAGAAGATGGAGTAAGACGGTCATAGAAAATAAAATTAGCTATAGGATGATGGGTACAAGACTGTTTACCTTTTTGATGAGCAATAGAAATATCCAGATCAGAAGAAATAGAAGTATCAGTAAGAGGCAGACCGACAATTGGAGATGACTATTTGGCTAGAGCAGAGAGAGACATGAACTTTTGGACGGCGAGAATACGTTAGTAGTGACGGTGGTGCAAGTGGCACAGTAGAGTCATCCTGTAATCCTGGAGAAGATCCATCAGCAGAAGGAACCGAAGCAGACAATGGAACATTAGTAGGAGCAATAGATGATAGAGGAACACATGGATCGACAATTGAGATGAACCAGTCGAAAAGAAGTTTGGAACAGACTCAAAAAAGGTAACATCTACAGACACAAAATACCTCCTGGTGGATAGATTATAACATCGATAACCTTTTTGAGTACGCAAATATCCCACAAAGACACTTAATAGACCATGGAGACAATTTATCCAGTCTCAAAGACAAATCCTGAATAAAATAAGTACAGTCAAAAACACGAGGAACCACAGGAAAAATCTGTTTCTCAGGATAAAGGTAGGTGAACGGTATTTTACTATTAAGAACAAAAGAGGGCATCTTATTGATCAAGAAACATGTACTCAGAACAGCATCAGACCACAAATACTTTAAAACATTCATATGTATCATCAAAGTTATAGCTACATTTAAAATATGTCTATGCTTCCTCTCAGTAACTCCATTTTGTTGTGAATTGTGAGAGCACGAAGTTTGATGAAGAATACCAATATTTGTACAAAAATAAGAGACATCATTTTTCATGTATTCCAAAGCATTATCGGTACGAAGAATACGAATAGAAGTAGAAAATTAATTTTTTATTTTATTGTAAAACATTTCAATAACAGTTGAAACTTCAGACCTCTCTTTTAATAGATAAAGCTAAGTCATGCGAGAGAAGTCATCAACAAAGACAATGAAATATCTAAAACCTTTTACAGAAGGTATACGATAAAGACCTCAAACATCAAAATGGACTAACTCAAACGCAGAACTGCTGTGTTTATTAACACGACTCTGATAAGTAGAACGATGATGCTTACCTAGTTCACAAGACTCATAACCTAAAGAAGAAACAGAAGAGTGGATAGAAATGACAACCGAAGCTCGATAACGAGGGATGACCAAGGCGTCAATGTCACAGTAAAGAATGACCATGCTTATCTAAAACCTTTCACAGAAGGTATACGATAAAAACCCCAAACATCAAAATGGACTAACTCAAACGCAGAACTGTTACGTTTATCAACACGACTCTGATAAATAGCACAATGATACTTACCCAGTTCACAAGACTCATAACCTAAAAAAACAGAATACTGGATAAAAATGACAACCGAAGCTCGATAACGAGGGATGACCAAGACGCCAATGTCACAGTAAAGAATGATCAAACATCCGTCCGACTGATGAAGCTCTCATCCCATCTCCAACGTCCTCAGCACCTCGCTCTGTTTCTAGATCTGAACGAAGAAGATGAAGATGAGGCAAGAAAGAATGCAAAGAAGATGATGGTGGGCTGTGGCGGCGAGATCTGAGGGCGACGACGACGACGGTGAGCACAGAGGGCGACAAGGGCGACGACAACGAGCAGAGAAGTCGACGAGGAAGATGATAGTGGGCGGCGGCGGCGAGCAGAGAAGCTTCGAGGATGAGGAGAAAGAGTGGCGACGGCTAGTGTTCGGGACTACGATATGATTTTTTTTAAACTAGAGTTAGGGTTTGAAGGGTTGGCTCTAATACCATGTTAGAAATGATAAGTCAGAATTGTATAATTTTATTCATCACCATGGGTCTATATATATAGGAGTACATAACACATATGAGTAACATATGGGAAAATAGGTTAATGGGTCCTAACCCGATAACACAATACTAATACCAACAAGATATAATATATAATTCACTTTTCCTTAGAAGAGCTCCAAAGTCACATTGAATGACACATTGTGAGGACCATATAAGTAATTTTGTATCAAAGATATTTTCTACTAGATTGTATTCCATGCTGTATTTTGTTTTCATTTCATTTATATTGTTCCCATTCCACCAACAAAACTTACTATTTTCATGTTTGCATATACATTCCAGCTCAGACATGCCAAAAGCTAGCTTCAATGTGGAGCTTGATGCGGCAAAAGCTACATGGCTTTCTCCTGATGTTGTCATCTTCTCTTCAAAAAATGGAGAGCTACTCTTACTTACGTTGGTTTCTGATGGAAGGTAGTACAAATTTATGCTTTGTTGCTAACTAGCCAAGATATGACGTCTATTGCTGGTGTCTAATTGCATGCATGACCAATTGGTTATCCCATCTTTATTGATGATAAATTTTATTTTTTCTAGATTTAATTTCATGGAGTGCTATTTACTATAGTAAGATTAAGGTTCTTGCTTCTTGAAGTTAAACCATCCTTTTGTTTCATCTTTGAAAAATAATGCCAGTAGAATCTCATATAATGATACGTATATTCTTTTTGCTTGCAGAATCGTGCAGAAACTTGACCTTATGAAATCTAAAGCATCCGTTTTGACCTCGGTTAGCTTAAATTTCTCGCAGTATTGTTACATAACAATTTTACGTTTTTGACTTAGTGTTGCAAATTACTGTTCCATCCTTTTTGCGTACTCACAGATCTTTTGTTTGACTAGGGAATCACAACAATGGGGAGTTCTTTCTTTTTCTTGGGTAGTCGGTTGGGAGACAGTCTTCTTGTGCAGTATAGTTATGGGGCATCATCCCCAACTTCTGCACATGTAAAAGATGAGGTACTAATTGGATGCTTCTCATAATATATTAGTATTTTGCACACATAAAAAATGTTGCGTTTGTTTCCTAATTGATCCTTCATTTTGCAATTTTAAACTAGGGACACTTAGTTAGCAGTGTAATATGATTTTGACTTGGCGATGTATGTATGTACGTATGTAGACACACACACACATACATACACATACACACACATATATATACATACATACATATATACATTATATATACATACATTCATACATACATATACATATGTATATGTATATATGTATATGTATGTATGTATGTACATGTATGTATGTATGTATGCATATACCATAATTTTTAATAATCGGCCGATAATCCGATATTATCGCCGGGTTATCAGATTTGGGAGCTTTCCGTTAGGATAAGTATGAATTTTAATCTGTTATTGTTTTTTGGGGTTTATCGGCGAGTTATCGGCGATAAAGGTACTTATTGGCCGATAAGGGAGGCTCTAAATATCGACTTTATCGGGCTAAATTTTGAGTTCAATTTTTGGGTGATGAGCAGTTATTTAGTGAGTTGTTAAACCCGACCCGACTTGCTTTCTACAATTGGTTAGTAATTCTAAACATAATTATTTATACTTTGATATGTTTATATTTTATTAAGTATGGTGAGATTATATTTTTGGTTATTATATTATATATACACCATCTAGTATATCACTCTGATAAATACTACTTATCCCAGATATATCCCCGATCACCGCTATCTGAAGGATTTTGACCGTCTGATAATTCCCTGATAACCGATATTTAAAGCCTTGGTCTTATCCCAGATATATCCCCGATCACCGCTATCTGAAGGATTTTGACCGTCTGATAATTCCCTGATAACCGATATTTAAAGCCTTGGT